CTTTTATAAAGTTGGAAATGAACTACAAGGCAAGAATGCAAAAGTTGTTTAAATGGGGGTGTGGTATATAGGCCCTGTAGCAGAAAGGAATAAAGAATAGAAGGAAAAACAAATCTTGAACAAGGGCCAATGAAATTTGTGTATCCAATAATTTATTGAATTTTGAAAAGGGTGGGTCAAATGGTGAAATAATATAGTGAAACAAATCTTGAACAAGGGCCAATGAAATTTGTGTATCCAATAATTTATTGAATTTTGAAAAGGGTGGGTCAAATGGTGAAATAATATAGTGTCTCAATGGCATTTATTGTTGTTTTCTCCTTTTTTTTCTCAAATTATTTATGACATATACATTTTCTTTCTTTCCCTTATTGAATAAATAGGACTATTTAATGATGGATAAAAGAAATAGGAAATAACTTATGTAAAACAAGAACTTTCAACTAGTTAATATATACTCTCATCAATTATTTTATATTTCTTATAGTTTGTTATATACATTATATCAATCATGTTTACATAGATAAATTATTTTTTAACACCTACTCAAATCAGTAAAACTATATAACATTAATCTGTTATTAGCTAGCTACCAACAATCAGTTCAATCAGCCTCATTCTCCTAACTCCAGTGACACGAGCTAATATGTCAATCAATTGATGTGCCGTAAAATTAGCATAAAATGTAACTGAAAAATCAAACTTTTTTCAGTTCAATTAATATAATATATGGATATGGTGGAATAATTTGCATTTACCTCAATTCAATTGCTAACCCAACAAGACCAATATATTTAGGTACATGTAAATGAATTCTTCAAATAAAATCATTGATTCATTTTTTTAATAGAAATTATTTGATTTTTTTTTTTTCTTTTTTAACTATATTAACGAAGCATGTCAAAATTTTCAGTGGAGACTATAGTCTATAGGAGGAAACTATTCTTTACACTTGTTTCTATAGGACTGGTGGGTTAAATTGTAAAGCAGCTTTATGGGCTTTGAGGGTTGTTGGATTTGGGGCATTGAAAAAGTTGGAGCGGATGGGCCCACAAAATCCCCCATAGAGATACAGCTAACGTTATCGATATTGCCTTTATTTGCTTGCTGTGAAAAAATATTTTTGGGCCCTTAAAATATTTTGAGCAGGTGAGCAAGTGGTTCAAAGAGTATCCATAATTTATTTATTTACCAATTATTTTATAATTATTTTATTTAGTCCATGTTTAAGATTTTCTTTTATTGGACGACCTTAATTAATTTTTTCTGATTAATTTTTACATTGACTTATGCATAATAATATTTTTTTTTTTTTTGCAACAATCATGATCATTTACGCAATCCATCAATCTAGTTTATATTAAGTTGTTAAATAAGAAATTCTACTGTTAAAATCAGATTATAAAATTAATATCATTTACTTCAAATACATAACTATATTCCCCTCTCCTTTTATCTAAATACAAATTGCATGGTGGTAGCTATAAACAAAATGAGTTGCTCGTGAGCTCAGTTCAACTCATTTAATTTGATAAAATTAAATTCGAGCTCATGTAAAGCTTGTTTTATTAATTAGCCAAATATGTAATTCTTTTTAATGCAATTGCCTCATTGCTCGGCTTGTTACTCATAATTATAAATTTTTATATAATTTTTTGTAGTCCAACTCGTTAAGACTTAAGTTTGTCTTATTAAATTTAAAGTCCAATTTATTAATATTGAAATAAACTGAACACGAAGGAGCTCGAGCTGGAATATCAAGTGATCAAGTTTAGCTCACCGCTAGATTAGGGCCTATCTATTGTTTGAAACGAAGATGTTTGTTTCTACTATTTTAATTAATTTTTCGTTTTGTTATGGATATTTTCGGTCAAACTTTTATTCATTATTTACCCTTGACTTTCGTTCCTAGTTCCTACAAATCTGTAGATAGATTGAAAGATCAACCTTTTAAATTTCGTTCATCATTCTCAGTCAATGTAAAGTTCTTGTTTTCTCACTTGTGGAAAAAATGTGGTTGGCGATTTTGACGTTAAGTTCCATTATATGTCAAGTTTATTATAAAATGCACATACGTATTTAGCATGCAATTCTCATAAAAAAATTAAATAAATAAAAAATTTGAAAGAGCAAAGAAAGACTAAATAGTAATAATAACACCAAAAAATTTGAAAGAACAAAGAAAAACTATTATCAAGCATGAAACTCGAAACACAATAAACTCCATAATTTATACTTTATAGCCAAGCATATTTAATTAATTTCTCAAAAAATCAGAATTAAAGTTACTTAATATAGCTTAATTCTTTAGTGAAGCAAGCCGCTCGTGAGCAAAATGGGCTCATTAAAGCTCGAATATATTGATTTTTATGTAGTTCCTTAAAGTTCGTATTTAAAATTCAAGCTGGACTTTGTCGATAAAAGCTCGAACACAAGTTCAAATATAAGGAGTTTAAACTCAACTTTATTCGACTTGATAAAGCTCAAAGTCCAGCTCCAATATTAAGAGTTCGAGCGCGACTTATTTAAACCTCGCTACCAAATTGAAACTTTTAACAAAAATATAAATATTGTTCAACATTTATCTTCAATTTTTTATTTAAATCAAATTAAGTTAATTTTTTATCACTATAACGTTTTATGAATGATTGGTAATTCTTTGGAGGAGGTCAAAGCAAATATACATTTTTCAAAAGTCAAATCATTGTTGTTTTTACTATCTAAGTGATTTAGCATAATGATGAGTAAAGTCAGAATCTATTACACCTTTGTTCACATTTGCACAAGTTGTCTTTAATAGACAAATAATTAATAATAACAAGACAAATGACATTGACCCCGTTTATAGATTTACTTACCAGTCAAAAAGGGACCATGACTATTAATTTCTTTTTTATTTTTAAATATATAAACATGCAAATCCTTCATATTCCAGATTCAATTTTCAATAACTATAATACATAAATGAAAATGAAAGGTCTTAATAGTTTGAGTGATCAATAGCTATAAAATCTATACATTTTGGTTTTGCATTTCAAGTCATGTATGATATTATCAGATGAAACATATAATTGCACAAATCAATAATCATGCTACATATGTTATATTTAGTGCTATAAATGGTCTCAATTCAATTTTATTAGGACCACCAAGGATTGTGACTTATCATTACGGACAAGATCTAAGATTGCAGATTTCAATTTTATCAATTTTATAGAGCCACTCGACAATTTTATTTCATTATTCCTTTTCTTTCCTCTCTTAAAGGTACATTTTTGTTTCAATTATTAATATTATTATAATCATTATTATTATAACCACAGTACAAAATTTAAATTAAATATTACTGTAATCCTGAGTATCTAAGCTCGAGATTATCAGAAGTTCAGAACAACTATATATGCAGCATTTTCCTTTTTTTTTTCCCCTTATCATATATTATGAATAATATAATATTAATTCATGTAGAATAATCACCCCAATGGTTTTATTTATTTATTTTTTCCTCGAATGTCCAAAGTAATGAATATTAAAACAAGTATTCCAAATAATTAAGATTCTTAACTATAGAGAATTAAAAATAAACTAGTATAATACTCGTGTACAGTACATGGGTGATTTCACAAAATAATTAAATGTACGATAAAAAATTAAAAAAAAAATTATATATTTTGTTGAAGTTGGAAAAAATAAATAAAGAACAATATATAATAATTAATAAAATTTTATTGTACATTTAATTTATAAAATTTTTATAACAATTTATAAAAATTACAAAATTTGAAAAGCACATTTTTAGAAAGAAGATAATAAATAGATTTATATGGAATGACTTAAGTATATTAAATATGTATATATATGGTAATCTGAATCTAAGTTATTTAGTATAAAAAATTAGTAATTTTTATTTAAGTCATATTACAAATCATAATATTTTGTCATGTAAAATTACGAAGCGTGAGAATCTGTCACTTAGACTCAACGCATTCTGAAACTATAAAAAAAAAAAAGGAAGGGGATATTTGTAAAAGAGCTATAGACTTATAGTGCGAAAGTTCTTACCTATTAGGTTGAGTAGTTGCGATTTTTATTTTCCAAATTGACATTTTATTCACAAAATCTAAAACTTAAGCATGTGAAGTATCTCCATATACTTTAAGAGATATAATAAATCTTTGTCAAACTGTTTGCTTAACTATTAGATAGTTCTATTATTTCAATAAATAAAAATATGTTTATACTAAATACATATTTCAAATATATAATTTAAAGAAATTAAATTATTACATATTACACAATTATTTTAGTGAGACGATCTAATCGTTAAGCGGGTCAACATTCAAAATTTTAAAAATATATATATATATATATATTTTTGTTACGAAATGTCATAAGAACTTTATTAATATAGTATGACATTTTGTTTGAAGTATGCAATTTCATTGAAAATATATAGTTGTCTAGCTATTTTATTATATATTTTATAGTATAAGTATACATTTATTTAAAAAAGAAAAAAAAAATGACTGCTTAATGATTTAGATAGCCTAACCAAAACATTTGTGTAGGAGATGATTCAAATTATTTATTCCTAATCTAATCACAATATTTTAATAGTGGAAGACTGCAAGTGACGAACGAAAAATGAAAATGTTAATATGAATAATGAAATCATGCAGCGTCACACGTTTTTCTTTCGATTCAAAGGATGAGATGTTTGACTTTTTAATTTCAATCTTTGGGTTTGTCTATAAAAGTCAGCCCTTAATTTATTGTTTCTCAAATTTTGTGGTTATATCGATGCTTGAGGACTTTTATTTACGAAAATATTTAATTAATTTAAACGGAAAATACAGCGTACTAATCCTGTAATCCATAAAAAAACACGTAGTAAAATAAAACATTCAAAGTTAATTTGAAAATCTAGTGTAATTATTACATTTTATTTTATGTATATAATAAGAATATCAAACTAAAAATCTTCAAAAATAATTAATTTGATACATCTTGTATAAAAAACTAGTAGTAAATAAAAAAATTACTAAATTTGAACGATAGTTATAATTTAAATTAGTCGAGTGTTATAATCTTAAAGAGTTTTAGTAGCCATAGATAAAAATTCAAATTTACACAAGCTATTCCAAAGCACGACAAATAAGATTGTGAATCAATCGAGATTGACACATATATAGTATTATACAAACTGCTGAAAATTAGAACTTATGCTCGGAATCTGCATTATATATATATATATATTAATATTAATACTTATGATCGAAAACTCTGCATTTATATATAAGAGTGATGTAAAATAAACTTACAATCATTTTTTATTCTTTTTGGGAACCTAATTAAGTACACCTACATAAACACCATTATTGAATAACCAAGACTTTATGAAATATCTTAATAATTTAGCACGCCATACATGGATGCGTACAAACATGTTATTGTATGTTAAATATATATTAGAGTTTTGCGTATGTTTAACAGTTTAAGGCATAAAAATAAACCTTAATCGGCATGTACAGCTTTTGGAATACCTAATCATGTATAATGAATTAATGAGCTGTTGAATTCATCTTTTACATTATTTAAAAATATATAAATGAAGGAGATGCATTGAACCTTCAGGCAGCAGGCAGATTATTTCTTAAATAGATATTGTCTGTGCACAAGATCTCCCTTCAAATATATGTAATTCCCTTAATCAATTATCCAACGATTTCTTTATCTTATGATTCTCAATTGAAAAAATAAATGTGGGGAAGTTAATTATAAGGTAAAACCCCTTCTAGAAGCCAACATGTGAGTAGAGCTGTTAGACGAAATTGAGTCGCTCGTGAACTAATTGCCTAATTAAGGCTCGAGCTCGTTTAAGACTCGTTAACCCTTGATAAATCTACATAATTTTTTGAATTTTTATCATATATCGGCTCGTTAACGAGCCGTTCGAGCTCGTTTATCGGCTTTAGCTTTATAAGAGCTCGAGTATTAAAACTCAAGCTCGGTTCAACTCATTTACAGTTGTGCATGTGAGAAAATAATAATATTATTATTAATATAGTAAAATACAATCACTTTTCTCCATTTAAACTCATTCTAATATCTATTATTTAATTTGCCACCCAAAAAAGTATGTAATTCCTTAAATGTAGACTTATTTACCAAAATCAAAGTATTAATTAAGCTTAATCCTACCAAAATCAAAGTATTAATTAAGCTTAATCCCACTACTTACTTTAATCATCAATAGCTAAAAGTAATCATTATAGAGCCAACATCAACATGATCTTCCATTTCATTTCCTATAACTCTTGTTTATGTATAATATGCTGGAATCTACATATAGTATTTAACTAGCTGACACTTATGCATGTATTGTGAGTTCATGTGACCAAATCAACTAATAAAGTTTTTAGATAAGCCTNAATAAATAAATCTGAACAAAATGTGTAATTAGTTGCTCGGAGGATCAACTTCCCACTTGTATATATATACTCTCATGTCCACCATAAACTAGATAACTTAGTTAATAAATATTGATATTTCAAAAACGATGAAACTATTAATTGGTATTTAAATAAATATCCATCGACACGGATGTATGAAAATTATTTTATTGTGATTCAATTAATTAAATTAATACTGTAATTTTTACGATTAACCAATTTAAGAACAATTTTTTAGCCAATAGTTTGAGTTTCGACCGGAAATTGTTCGGTGTATGAACGTGATGTGTCAATTTCAGACGAAATTTGAGTATTCGAACATAATTATCTTTAAATTAATTAATTTTTAGTATTATGGGATACTGATATTAAAATCGGGTGGTCCCAAAGGATAGATGAACTCAAAATCCAAGGAAAGATTTTGGTGTTAAAAACGAAGATTCTTTTGTTTGTGTTAGAGCTTAACACGATTCTTGCCGGGTATTGTGGGTCAAGTCGGCTTTATAAAATATGATGATTGTATAATATTTCTTTTTATATATTTATATAGGCATCAAATTGAAAATAAAACAATAATTAAGTTAATCTATAAAACATTCTACCATTTGCTCACCTAGTAAGCAACAACGAGTGCAAAAATGGTAGCTAGATATTTTTATTCTATCTTTTTTTTTTTTTGTTTTTATAGATAATAACATTTAAGGATTACTATGATTATAATAATTAGGCATATATAAATATAATTAGACGTATATATCTAACAAAAAGCCCATTATAGGTAAGACATAAATGGTTGAGACCGTGATCGCTGAATTATGGAAATTTGTCATGAGGCCCAGCTCCATAACACTTGGGCCTGATTCTCAAATAAGTAAAATAAAATGTCTTTTACATGTTTGTTGAAAAAAAAAAGTGTGTTCCTTATATGTAAATAAGAGTTGTTAACGATACATAATGTTCATATGTTCATGAGCTCAGCTTGATTTGACTCGTTAAGGTTTGAGTTCATCTCAGGTCAATTGATAAACGGGCTAAGTTCGAGCTCGTTTTCTTAACAAGTCGAATCGAATTATGTTCATTAAGGATCGAGAAATATGAGTTCATCTTTATGTATTTTTTTTTTTTAAATTTTATCTTGATTCGTTAATGCTCGAGCTCGNATTTAGAAAATCCGAATCTACAAAATTAGAGACTTAAGGAGAAACTGAAACTAAAACCCTTATAATATAAATTTTATATTTTATCTTAAAAAAATTAAATGATTTGTACATTAGTACGCAAATAAGAGCACAATACCATCTACCAAAAAATTAAAAGCAATATTAAAGATAAAGACTTTATTTAGTGCTTGACTCGTGAATCGTGATATACTTATTGAGATGATGCATGCCTAATAATCTTGAAATAGGGCATACCTAATAATCTTGAAATATTTAATTGCATCTATATCACAATTTAATGATGTTAGGCAAAGAATAGGGAATTCTCATACTTTTTTCTCCACTAAAAGTAACCAGATGGAGAGCCCCCACATCAGCATAATAGCCTTGCCCACCTAAATAAAATAAAACAAAAAACTATGAAAACACTAAATAATTATTACAAAAAGCACATCTTAAAAACTTTATTGAAAAATTTTTTTGAAAATTTAATTAAACTGTAGAAACCCTTTTTAGATTCAAAGGTATTACATTTCTCCAATTTTTTGTCACACTATTTGTAATATTCAAAAGAATTCATATGTGTATTTCTTACAATAGTAAGACTATTGGTAGGCAAGTTTATGTTTAACAGTCAAATAGTTATACATTTTTAACAGATATACATACTTGCAAACTTAAAATTCATATTATAAAAAAGAATATAAAGAAAAGTACTATGACTTTTTATATAATAAATATACATTTTTGTTTAAAAAAACTAATGGGTCGACCGCCTAACGGCTAAGCCCGACTTATACTAGAATTTGTGATACATAAAATATACAGTAAAGTGACCAAATTGCATAATTTGGGGGGCAAAAATGTAAACCAACACTCTATTCTGACTTTTTGTTAAGCACAACAAACCTTCAGTGTAATTTTTGCAATTATCCCCTATATATATAGTTTTGCAGCCATAAACCAAACTGTAGTAACTTTTCACTTAATCCATTTTTCCAGTTTTTCTTCATCTGAAGCATGACAATTCCTCTCATATTCCAAGCCAAAGCAAACTGCATAAGGCTTTTTTCATTAGCTTTAGCAATTTCTCTTGTGGCCATCATGTTATTGGCTACTGATGAAGCTTTTAATGATCAGCCTCTCAAAAACACAATAATAATGCTGGGGATCGATTTTCAAGATTCTTGGTTTATCGACCCACATGCCGGAACAGGTGGTGGGCCCGGCATCGGAAAAATAATCCGGTGGCCGGAAAACGAAACCCGGTGGGTAAGTTTACTTGGGCCATAGGAAGATGAGAGATTCAAGGTGAAAATTTGATCCAGGTAGAGAATGATATTTACTGCAAGAATTGTTGAACTAATAGTGAAACAATCTCAATCTTATTTTCCTTCTCTTTTCTTTAGAAATATAGTTTGTTTTAAGAATTCTATATATTCCCATCTTAGGATTTGTTTGTATTTTTTTTTTTTTTTTGGTTTTTTCTTCAATAAAACTACTTCTATACATCCTTGAACTACAAAGCATTCTGTTTTACATACATAGCCATTTTCGAGAAGATCATCGAAACTGAATATAGGCGTAAAAACACATTCCATACGAGTAAAATGAGTTTGAACTATAATAAACCATCGAAGAATTAATCCTACGTGTCGATACTCAAAGATACAATGCACTTACACAATGCAAGCTCTGGAAAAACCGAACATCCTTTGGTAAAGAAGTATAATAGCAGCCACGAAACAAAATGCATCCTACCAAAAGTCGAATTTCGATTTTGATTAATGCATTTATTTACAGAATCTTCCATTTTCTCTCGACAGCAGTTGTTATCATCGATATACAGTATGCGGCACTCAATGGATATTCAGAAACTGCAATGAGCGATTATATAACCTTCAGGAAAAACTCAGGAAGAAATAACTGAAGGACCGTTAAAGGGAATGAAAGAATCAGAAGATAGAAATTATTTTCGATCGAGATTGTTTATTTTACCTGATATATAATCTTCGACATAATCTTCATCAATTTTCCCATGGGCCATTGCCCCTACCTGGCAAAGGATCACAGATTTCAGCAAATATTAGA